TATTTTAAACCAATAGGCAGTAGAAACTTTCCAGTCCCCCTTCCCCTTCATTCCTGCAAGGAATAACTGACTACATTGCCGATAAACTCTATTAAACTTGTTTTCTCCGTGACAGTGTCAACATACATATTTTTTTTTTAAAGTTAGGCATGACTCTTATAAGAATACGGAATGAACACATGACAGATGTTGATTTAGCTCATGAATAAGAGAACCACCAGGAAGGAAAAAGAGCATTTGGGAACTGAGTGTTTATGGTCAATGAAGAAAAAATTGGGGAATGAAGTTACTCGGTTAGAAGTAAAACTGGCCAATGTCCTTCAGGACAATAAAACCATAATCCTTAGGGTTATTGTTGCTAGCAGACAAAAAAATCATTTTTGCATCTCATCTGGGCAAAAATCTAGCAGTTCCATGTCATCTCCCAGAGCCTGGGCCCTACTCGAGAGTAAACGGAAGACAGAGAGGAAGTGGCGCCCCGAGAATGGATATCTCCCTGGGTGGCTCTGTTAGGCTGAGCTCTTACAGTGCTGAAAGGAAGCGCAATCCTCCCTTTGCCTTATTTATAAATGTTGGAGAGTTCTCTTAACATAAGATACAAATTTACATATTGGCAGCTGTGGCCTTCAATTTCCCAAATGCAATTTGCTCTTAATATTAATCTACTTTTCACCATCTTTCCTGTCTGTTTTCAATCAGGAAAGAAAAAGACCAATAAACAGTTCTGGGATTGCAATTATGTTCCATTATAAAAATTAAATGTGTTTTAATATGATTTTGATACCCGTCTTGATGGACACTAAAACATTTTATGGGCAATTTAAACTTTGTATCAGGACCAAAAAAAATATAAAGTCCACATATCTGTTTTGAGTGGACGCTAGCAAAAAAAAAAAAGAAAGAAAAAAATCCAGTTAATACTAACTGCAGTTTCAAATGTTTCTATGGACTTAGGAGGTAACTGGGCACATTACTGAATTTCTTAGCCTCGGCTTCCTCCTCTGTGAAAAATAAGCGCTTCTTTGCTGCACTGTTGCATGCAAAATTGGATGCTGACAGATTGAAAACTGGGATTATACTTCTGTGCTCTTATTTCACTCTGCTACATGCACTTTCACAGGTCTTAATTTCTGCTTTTGGGACTGCCTTGCAAGTTTCTTTTTTATCATTTGTCTTTTGCTACACTGATATGTACTTTATCTTCTTGTGATTTTAAAAATAAGCTATTTTTTTAAAAAATCTAATTGCTTTTTCCAAAAAATATTCCATTGTATTTCTCATCTTCCTTTCCTTTTTTGTAAAGAATAAAATGGTCTTTTGATGACCCTTAACATTAGATATGGCATTTAACAAACCTCCTTCTCTCTCTCTGACTTAATGCCATTTAAAACTGTAATCTGCTTCCAGAATTTACTGTCGCCTTTTTTAGAAATATGGAAAATACCAAAACATAACTTTATCTAGGAGCTATTAAAACTACACACTTAGCTCACATGGCCAACTGTTCAATTAGTTCTTTAGATGCGTTAGTCAATCGTTCGTTTTTTAAACAAACTGTTCATTCAAACACATTAAAAAAAAAGCTATAAGAAGTATTACAGCATCATAGCTTCAGAAAGAGATGTGCCCTCCCCTTTTCCGAACTCGAGTTTCTAACCAGAGCATATCACATGAACCGAACTGGAATCATGATGCTTATTGAGATGAAACCAAAAAAGGCACCACGTTTTAGGGGCTCTTCCAGCTGGGGGGTGGGGGGTGAGTGGGTGGGTGTGTGTGTGTATGTGTGTGTGTGTGTGTGTGTGTGTGTTTTAGGTGTTCTGAGGGATTCTCACATTTAGTCTTTAATTTGCCCAAAATAGCTTCTTTAAATACATTTGCATGCAAGAAGACTACAAGACCCAAAAAGCTTGGATATTTAGTTTTAAAAATGGTGCAGAAACTGTATTTATTCAAAACCATTGTATTATACACTTTAAATGCATGAACTGTATGATATGTGAATTATACCTCAGTAAAACTATTTTAATGGTAGTGAAAGGAAAAAGAGACGAGTAAACATTCATGTCATTGTAGCTTACATGATTGTTATAAATATTATAATTTCAAACAGTTATTACTTATATATAACTGTTTTCATTGCTCACAATTAATCTTTTTATGTCTGTAAAAAAAGTATTTGGGTATCTCGGGCTAAATGAAATTCATCATCTTTCCAATTAAAAATTATTGGAAATATTTTTTCACTTAATGGCTTTTCCCTTAGCACAAGTATTTTCAGGGACAAATTAAATTATTAAGTAATTATTATTGAAATGTAGAGTTAAATTTGATGTTGAGATGAGTAGCAGTGTAAATGATGAATTGATTCGCCCTGAGCAGCAGAGCTGAAATGTATTCTGTCTGCTAAGTAAGACATGGGACCGGCAAGCTGGCCGGGAGCCAGGACCACGCGCAGTGTCGGGAGGGCAGAGGGGCCCGTGAAAGACGGGAAAACCAGGAAAAGATACAGAAAAGGGCAATTGGATAATTGACTAAAAAAAGCTGACCTGGAAACGTAGTTTGCTATCTCACCAGCCTGCGGGTTGTTTACTATCACAAAGTCCATTGGCTTTATTCAGCTCCAGATTTCAGAGGGGCAAAACATAGCTGCATACTTAAGAGTTAAAAGAGAAATTTTCTAAGCTCAAAAGCAACTTAAATCCATTTAGTCTCTTACTTTGTGAAAGACAAAATTTATACCAAATCAGAATTTTCTGCTTTGTTTTTTTTTGCTGACAGAAAAGCTGGAAAACAAAATACTTTGGCTACCTTTCTAGTAGAAAAAGGAAATATGGACAATCTGAACACCAGCAAACACAGAAAAATATCTTTAAGGCATATATCTAAGGTATTACTTAGTCAATCAGAAATTTAGAATCTGAATGTGTAATGCCTAAAATTTTGAAGAAGTTAAACTATGAAAATACATTATTCTTTAGTTATTGCCAGTAACTTGAGACAAAAATAACAGAAAAATAAGTGCCTGGGTTCTAATCAGGAAGTGCTGATTGTGAACTTGGAATTTTGTTTTCTGATAAAGAATGGAGAAACACTGAATAATAAACCTCACGAACCAAATGAAATTTCTTAATAAGTTTCTTTTTTTCCCATATTCTACCTGATCCCAGTCAAGAGCAAGGAAAACAGAATATAAGCCTAGAGAAAATAAAGTTACTGAAGCATTATTTAAGTATTTGATGTTCCGGGTAGAATGGTGTGAAGCTCCCCCAAGAACCTTGCTTTTTAAGTAACAGTTTTCTTGAGGGATTTTTGTACATTTTAATGCAACTTTACACATTCTTTTAAAGACATTTCCAACAAATGGAAAGTCATTTTGGAAAATGTGAATAATTCCAGAAATATGGAGACTTTTCGTTTCCTTTCAAACTTCATTTCCTTTTAATATTCACTCACCTGCAACCTGAACTCTCCCTGCGTTTTGCTAGATATTATTTATTAACTACAAGCTGGGTGATTACTTCTGCTTCTCAGATCACTGAAACTCAGAAAACTAAAGAAATTTCTAAAACACCCAGCTGCCCCGGCTGCTGCTGATGGTGAGCGCCTCTGAGAAAGCCCCAGGAGCCCCCTGCACTCAGGAGGGCCTCCCGGTCAGGGTATTTCCACACCAGAACAGTTTTTCCACAGCAAGAATAAACGAGTTTGGGAGATCCCAGGGTGCAGGATCTGTACCTTTGAAAGCCAAACCGCAACAATAAAAACAAAAAAAAAGTGTAGGGAAGATACTGGCTTTGGCTTGCTCTCCCTTCACTTCTTCCCAGTTCTAACCGCTTCATCATACCCTAATCGTTTGTTGGCAGCACCCAAATAAAATAGATTCTTTTAAGTTTTATATTCACTAAGTGCTTTTCATCAGTTCCTCGTCTCTCTATCCACCCCCATTCCACTCCCAACTTATTTTATGCCGCATTTGAACAGCGCTTGACTTAAGAGTTAAGTATTCAGTAAAAGGTAATGATGACAAGAATTATTGTCATTATCTGCAGACAGAAAATGAAGCTCAAAATTTAAATCCTAACCTACCTTTATCAATGATTTCTAGAGAAAATTGTTGTCGGTTGAATTCTCTCAAATGGCTCTCATGCAGGACATTTATTTTTGACCCCAAGTGTTACATCTCACTTGTCTCACCACATAAGATAGCTGTGCTCTCAAAGCAAACGCCATGGGGAGACAATGGGCAGGGGCCTGTTCTGGATTAAACGAACTCAGACATAGCGAAATGCAATGTAACTTGATTGACTCCAGACCCAGGAATACAAATCTACACAACACATCTTGGAAACAATCGGAAAAGTTAGAATATGGGCTGGGCATGGATTATATTATTGAACTGTTAATTTTATTAGGTATTATAATGGTATTGTGGCTATAAAGAGGAATGTCTCTATTCTTAGAAGACACAGGCTAACATATTTAGTGGTGAAGTATTATGGTATCTGCAACCTATTTTCAAATGGTTCGGCCAAATTTTATTTATTCAAATATAGAGAGAAAGCAAATGTGAAAGAAACAATGTTAACAACTGGTGAATCTAAGTGAAGAGTTTATAAGTGTTTACCATATTCCACTTCAACTCTTCTAGAGATGTAAGTGTTTTTAATAAAAAATAGGGGTCCTGAGTGATGTGGCTCAGTCGGGTGGGTGTGGTCCTACGAAGCGAAAGGCAGCCAGTTTGAATTTGGCCAAGAGCACAGGTTCGGTCCCTAGTCAGGGCGCATGTAAGGGGTAGCTGATCGATGTTTCTCTCTCACATTGATGTTCCTCTCCCTCTTTTGCTCTCTCCCTTCCCCCCTCTCTCTAAAATTAAATAGATACAACCTTTTTAAAAATTGGGAGTAAAAATATAGCAAAAATTTTGTTTTACTGAAAACACCACACATTTCTTTAAATATTTTACTGTAATAATATACAATTATACATTGTTATTACTTGTTTATGCTTTATAAAAAGCACACCTATTTAACATAAACACTCAACATAAATTAACTACCTTCAATTATTTAACTTTCAATGATGATGTATGAACCTCTTTATCTTAAATATAAATCAAAATAGCTCAATACCCACTTTAAATTAGAGACAATAAGATGCCAGGTATAAGAATCATGAATTAATATTTCAAAGTTAAATTTTTCAATAATTTCTTCTTTGCTTTTCTTCTTTGTCTAGCATAGTCTGTTTTAAGCTCAAAGTAGCATCTTGAAATCCAGGATTTAAGTCTAATACTTTCTTGAAGTCTTCCACAGCATCATCAAAGTACCCTGCACCAGAATCCAAAAAAATGGAAAAGAGAAAAGAAGCTGAGTATTTCCTTATATAATTCATAACAAAGTTTGGATACACACACTTTTGCTTTTATATTTATGAGCTTTCAACCACTCCTACTGAAGGAAATTTTTCTTTAGGAGGATCTAGGGGTGCCTATATCAAAGTAATTCGGTCGGCCCTTCAGAATAATATATTTAAAATTAGTTAGGGGTTTATTTATTGAGATGTAGTAGGTAAATAACATACATCATCATGGCATTTCAACAAAATTATATCACCTATTTTAGATAATTACAGTACGATTAGGAAACAGGAAATAATTTTTTTAATACTTTAAATATGAACTAGTACCTACGCTCCCGGATGCCAACGATCTATAAAACTCCTTCACTTCACATCGCCTCGTGTGACTTCAACGATTTTAATTCAGCAAAGTCTCACAGGCGACCGTCAGCATTACCCTTGTTTTGCACTTGGCAACATACAGGCGCGAAGGAAGGGGGTCGCCGTGCCTGCAGCGGCCGCCCCCGCGCTGCGCTGTGGTCTGTAATGTCTTTTGAAAGCCTTAAAATAGACTCAGGAACGACGCCTTTGTTCCAGGCTCTAAACCTAAATTTCACATCACTTTTAAGACTTGATGATCACTCCATTACTGTTACAACATTCAAGAGCTCTTACTTCAGCGAATTTAATAACTAAGGAGAAGGGAGGAAAAAAATACTCTTACCCAGCCTATACAATATCAACCCTCTGTTGTAATACGGAACTTCAAAATTGGGTTGGACTTCTATGGCAGATGTGTAGTCATCCATGGCTTCATAAAAATCAACCCTGAAGTACTTGATTTGCCCCCTGTTGTTATATGCAGTAGCCAAGTCCTTAGGGCTGCATTCGCTTTAAACAAAAAGTCCACATTAAAAACACCGCATGACCAAACTCCTCCCACTTCCACTTTCCTTCTCTTTGGGATATTGGCAAACTTCATAGGCTATAGCATGCAGTATCCACACTGAAAAACCGAGGTGATGAGACAAAGTGCAAAGAAATTAAAGCAATGGATCAATTTTTGCTTAATCTCGGTGTCTACCTGTATATAACATTACATCAAATCAGAAAAGCACATTCATTTCATAGTGCGCTCAAAGCCCCTGTTCCTTGCCAGCTTGTTTGGCTGAATATAGTATCAAAATTACTGCTCATTTTCTAAGCGCATGCCAGCAGGGCAAAGAGGACTGATCAAATTCAAGCTGAGCAAGAAGGGAAAGCCAGCCCAAAGTTCCATGTCCCAAAGTGAATCATCAATCCTGTCCTCAACATTTTAAGTGATCCCACAACGAGTTTTGAAATCACTTTGCACCAATAAAAGTTAACCCTCAGGGAAAAGTCACCACGTGGATCCCCAAGGGGTGCTTTCTGGGGAGGGAATTGCCCCAAACTGAGATCCTAGAAGAACAAGGCTTGGGTCCCCTCTGGCTCCTCTGTGCAGAATCAGCTCTGCATCGGAGGGCTCCGGGCCGCTCTGCCGGCCACCAGCGCAACAGGTCCTACGGCCCTCCCACCCCGCACCCTCCACGGAGGCCTGGCTGCACAAATCCTCTGCACGGACCGCATGCGTGCGCTCTGCTCCCTGTCAGAGGGGATTCTGTTTTCTCCTTTTTTTCCAAAGGGATTCTCAAGTTTGAACCAAACAGGAAAGATGCAACCTAAACTCATCTGCCATTTCTTTGCTACACCTCATAGTCCTCAAAAAATATTTGTGACTGTCGTCAGTGTTATTAAAAGTTACTTCCCTTAATTTTGATCCATGACATGTCAGACAGGGACCGTAACTGCTGCCGCCACGAGAGGTACTCACAGCCTAGGGGTCTCCTTCAAGTCCAAGTTTGCTAACAATGGAGAGGAACACTGCAGTTTTAGAAAATGCCTGTTTCTACGAGCTTTGATTGAGAGACTTCTGGATGCTACTAACAGCACTGTGGAAACCGAGAGAACAAGAGGGCTCAGTCCCTTCATCAGTCTGTTATGACGCTAGGTTAACTGCTACCCTGTAAAGAGTTTTAAGGAAAATGCAGCCTCAGGCGTCCAGTAAAGGTTTGGCCATTAAATTTCTGAGCCTCAAAGCTTTCTTATAAATTTCTTATATTCAGAGGATCTTAGAATGTTTGATTTAGAATTAGATCTCATTACAATAAATTCTAAAAGCCCTCTTTTTGTGTAGAAGTTGTTTCATATTTTAAAGACATGGGCTCACAGTTGGAGCCCAAAAATGTTTTCTGTAATATTGATATTTTTACAGTAATAGTACTTATGGTAATGTTGTTTAACCAGATTACCTAATCCAAATGTTGATTTTTAGCATTTGTTAGCTTCAGCAAAGAAAAAACATTTGGAAATTTGGTTATAGCTAACACTGTACTTTTGGATAGTAAAAGGAAATGCATTAAACCTTTCAGAGTGAAAGGCATTCAAAGTTTGCAAATACTATTTCAAAATGACTCAGTAACCCACTATTTTTAAAATAAATTTAAGCTCTAAAAGATACATGTAAGGGAAAAAGCTGAAGAATTCCATTTCAATCCATGAGTTCCTAAAATTTCAGAACTCCAAGGAAACTGAAGGCTCATTTTACAGACGAGAAACTGAGGCTGAGAAAAGGGATAAGCAACTGGCAGAGGCAGGATTGGAATTCAAGCACACTGACCGCCCTTCTACTAAGCCATGCAGATTTTCTTCCTTAAACTAGGCAGGGGTAGCAACTGCATTTCCTACCAACACACACTGTGCTCTCAGGCTCAGACATGCAAAGGAAGAAGAGGAACAAGGCTACATGGCATCAAGGTACTTGTTGCTGATGAGTACTATTTGAAACCTACTAGGTAAGTCTATTCTTAGAGCTTGAAACGAGAATAAAACTGTTGTCTATGTTTACTAACGATTGGATGGGGGGAGCTGGTACCATCTTCTTGTCTATTCAGAAATTTTGATTAACTATTATTCTGTTGTATTAACTATTATTCTGTTGTATTATTGACAGAGAAAGCAATGAAAGCAATCTTATTTTCCCAGCTTAATACATATGAGTTAACAAACATACTAATCTTTTTTTTTTTTAAGATTTTACTTATTTATTTTTAGCGAGAGAAGAACGGAGGGAGAGAGGGAGAGAAACATCAATATGTGGTTGTCATGCTGCCCCCACCCCCCACTGCCGCCAGGGGCCTGGCCCGCAACTCAGACATGTGCCCTGACTGGGAATCGAACCAGCGACCGTTATGGTTCATAGGCCAACACTCAATCCACTGAGCCATACCAGCCAGGGCCAAGAGACTAATCTTAAACCACATACAAACGACAGGCTTGCATCCTCTCAAGAATAAAAACAAATCCTTGAGGGAAGAAGAGGGCAGACAACTCAAACTGTCAAAAAAGCTGTTCATTCAACCCCTGTTCTCTCTTTTCTCTTCCTGGTTGCCTCCACGTCATCAAGAACAACTAAGGCAAAATTTGGACTAATGAATGCTGTACATTCAGGCACAAACTGGAGCAGCCTTGGGCAAGCCATTATTAGTAGTTGAGGTTGCTAACGTTCCAAAAACAGAGACAACCAGACACTACCTACTTTCTGTTAGATATACACACCACCGCCTATATTCTTGACATACTGAAACTGAACTGGATAAACCCTAAGATGTAACTACCAACTTGCAAACAATGTAGGAGACAGAGGACTATGTTAAATAACATCAGGGAGGTGGGTCCCGCAAATCCAATATACGGGTAACTCTCAGGACACGTGACACGGTTTCGTCAACAAACTAACTGCAAGGTGTGAACCAATGGTCGTTGGTGCCAATTCAATGCCAACAGGAATCCCCAACTTGGAGTGTGGTGAAAAAGCAAACTTCATTCGCTGCAAAACAGCTCAACTGTGATGCAGGACGGCTGTGAGGCAGCCCCAGGGCCAGGACGGTCAGCTCCTGCATGGTCTGCTTTGCCCTGCTGCTGGTCTGCCCTGGTGAGACATCTTCAGTGCCTCAGCTCAGCCAGTGAAACACAACATTCCACGGACAGGAAAACCACTCCCAGAGCCAGAGGGGCGCGGGGTGAACCGATAGAGGGCCCTGCCATTGGTCCCTGATTGGTCAGTCTTCATGCAAAGGAGGGCTCCAAACCCCAGCAGTTTGGCCCAAAAGGCACTGACCTGATTGGTCAGAACAGAGCCACTCTGGTTGGTCAGAGCTGCGCATCTCCAATGGGACTGGGAAAGCCTCAGTCCTATTGGTTGAAATAGGATTCCAGGACCTGGCTCAGATGGCAGAAACACTGCAAGCTGGCACTTCAGTGCCGACCTCTTCCTGAACGGCAGCTTGCAGAAGAGGCCCTGTGCAGAAGTGGCTGCCAGGGTTGTTGTTATCGGGTTGTTTGGGGTTTGTTTTTTTTTTTGGCGGGGGGGCGGGGGGGGCTCTGTTTGTTTTTAATTTGCGTCCCCTTATCCACCAGGAGCCTTTCTTAGTAAGTGTCTTCTTTCTCAGGGTTCACGAAGGGGGAAAAAAAAAAAGGTGAGCCTATAGATTAAGAGACCTGGTGTGCATCCCGACTTGAACTATCTAATTAAAACCAACCAACCAAACAATAAAACAAAAAAAAAACTTTATTGCCCTGGCTGGGTAGCTCAGTTGGTTAGAGCGTGGCCCTGATAGTCAAGGTTGAGGGTTCGATCTCTGGTCTGGGCACACAGAAGAATCAACCGATGAATGTATAAATAAGTAGAACAACAAATCGATATTTCGCCTTCTCTCTCCCCCTAGCCCCCCGCCCCTGCCTGTCTCTCTCTGAAGTCAACAAGTGAAAAATAATAACTTCACTGATCAGTGAAGTTTCAACAATTACTGGATATTTGATATTGACAAATTATGTGATAATGGTATTATGGCTAGGTCTTTTTAAGAATCCTTCCTACTCAGAAATACATTTGCAACATCCATAAATAATTTGAAGTCTAGGTAAAGTGATAATGCTGAAGCCGAATCATAGTTACCTGGAGGTTCATTATGCTACTTCCCATATATTTAATTTTGTTTTCACAGTAAGTAAAATACAAAACACCCTTGCTGTGAAAATGTGGATCGCGGTACTGGGTGCTATCGCAGCACCTGTCCCCTGGCCCTCACCAGGTCTACGATACTCCCCTGTTAAAAGATCAGAAGGGGAAGCCCTACCCGCCCTGAGTCCCTTGATCTAGGGTAACAGGAGAGCGAGACGGCGAAGCGAAAGGCAGCGGAAGAGCCCGAGTCCCCATACACTCCTAGGTGTCTAGTAGCAAGGCGCAGGGGCTGCACCCCAAGACACTCCGCTCGCCTTTCTGAGAAAACAAGCTTATGCCCCGCCCCCCGCCGCCCTGGGTCTGCAACCGTTCCGCTCAGGTTGAGGAGCAAAGAGGCTGCAGGACCCGGCCTCCCCACATCGTGAAGACAGGCTGACCCCACTTCTCGCGATAGTTACCTCCCGGGAGGCGCTCCAGCAGAAGCAGCGCAGGCGCACTGGCGAATGTAAGCGGAGTACAGCGTCTCGGCCTCCGTGTACTCGCCCTTCTGAAAATGAGCCTGGGCCCGTGCAAGGGTTGCTCGGCTGTCTTGCCACTGCTGCTCTTCCATAGCTGTCTGAGGTCCGGCTTTCAGTGTAGGACGGGGCTTGATTTCAGAGGCAAATGCAAAGCCTCTTCCGCACCTTAGAATTTAACCTTCCGCGGTAGCAGAGGGGGCAGTTTGTGCCTTCCGAGGACCCGTCGTTTGGCCAGATGTGTACTCATCTGCTAGCGGAGAGTTCAGGCTGCCCAGAAAGCTTGGATGGACCCTTGGGAAGTGCAGTTCCGTTGTCGTGGCTGCTCAGCCTACCAGTCTTGTTTCCCAGAAAAGCAGTATACCAAACTAGTTTACAAATCCGTGCTCTGATGTTGCAAGGAGCTTGCCTTTTGTACAATTGCGGGAGGGGGCATGCCGGAAGCGGAAGAAACCTTGGTTTGTTTTAAGTGTGGGTGATCGTAGCACCTAACCGGTTCGTGTCCACCCTTGGCAAAACACCCTATTCTGGGTAGGCTCTGATAACTCCGAGACGCTTTGTGTCAGAATTGCATGAACTTCGTTGTCCCATGGTCCGGAGTCCTAATTCAAACTGTTTATTAGCTCCAAGACTCTAGATTTGCAAACTTCTCAATCTTTTTGAACCTTTGGAATAGTGTAAAGATTAATAGTAGTATGTGTCAACAGTCTGTGGTCTATGGATGTTACTTTACATTCCTTGGCTGTTTATGCCAAAAAAAACCCAGATAGTAATTTAAACAATATGTTTAATTCAGTTTAAAATTATGTAAAATGAACAATCTATAGAGGAAATTTTTTAAAAATTCCATTTACAATAACATTAAAAATAATAAAATACGAATTAACCAAGGAGGTGAAAGACATGCAGTGAAACATGGCTGAAAGCAAAGACATAACTAGAATGACATCCCATGTTCATGGATTATAAAACTCAGTATCTTAAAGATGTCACTACTACTTAAAGCACTTCACAGATTAAATGGAATCTCTCAAAACTCCAATAATGTTTTTATAGCAATAGAAAAATCCATTCTAAAATTTATATGGAATTTTAAGGGATCCAAAGTAGCCAAAACAATCTTGAAAAAGAACAAAGTTGAAGGACTAATGCTTCCTGATTTCAAAACTTAGTACAAAGCTACAGTAATCAAAAGAGAACAGTTATAGCATAGAGGCAGTTTTCTCAATAAATGGTTCCGAGAAAACTGGATATCTACATGTAAAAAAAAAAAAAATGAAGTTGGATCCTAATGTAACATCATATTTAAAAATTTACTCAAAATGGACTAAAGACCTACATATAAGAGCTAAAAATACAAAATTCTTAGAATAAAACAAGGCAAAAGCCTCAGGACACTGTATTTAACAATGTTTTTTTGGATGTCACACCAAAGGCACAGGCAATGAAATAAAAAATAGACTAACTGGACTTCACAGAAATTAAAAACTTTTGTGCAACAAAAAGACTATCAACAGAATAAAAAGACAACCCAGAGAATAGAGAAAATATGTTCAAATCGAGTGTCTGATAAGAGTGGGAAATGCAGACGGAGGGTCTGTGGGGCAGGCTAGGCTGGTATGTCCATCTGCTCATTGAACATACATGGTGTTCCCATCACCCTTGAAAAGCTCTGGTGTATATGTGACTGAAGTACCGGGACCAGGTTCAGTGGCTGTCCCTCCAACTCACATACCCATCTCCCACTGAGTCCACCTAACACTTGGCATTTTGCCTGAAAATGGCATCATCAAGACTTCCCTCCACCAGCTCACCCCGAAATAAAACTGAAACAAGGTGATCTGCTGAAAGTGCTGTGCTTGCCCGCAACCCCATGCTCTTGACTGCCACAGGAGGAAGTGTGGCCACACCAACACCCAGAGCCCCCAAAAGAAAGTCAAATAGGCCCTTCTTCCCTCACAGGGTAGCCTCCTACCTGAGCCCCAGGGCCCTGGGGCCTTAATAAAACTTCCATTTTGTTCACCGGAACAGCAAAAAATAAAGTAAATTAAAAATAATATTTTAAACTATACATACATATATATGCATATACATACACATACACAGGTACATAGGTATATTTCCAGAATATATGGACGACTTCTAAATCTCAACATCTCTGAAGTTGGTATACTACTCTGCATTTCCACCAGCAATGTATCGGGGTTTCAATTGCTCCATATCCTCACCAACATTTGTCAGTTTTAATTAGTATAGTGGGTATTAATTTCTTTAAAAACTCAATTGAGAAAATAAGAATACATAGAAGGGGGAAGCATAATATTGGTATTTGCATTTTAGAAGCTTGGTAGCAATATTTTGGAGCTATATGATCATCAAATTAAATAGTCTTGGTTTTCTCTTAAAAGTCAAGTAACAGTTTTCCCCCATTTCTAAATGAGAACTCTGGGTGACCTCTACAGAGTAATTCACTCAACCCTAGTCACCTGGCATGGGCCTAGCACCTTTATAGGTGGTGGTGGTGGTGGTTTTTCCTGTTTGGTAGCAAAAGTGCTATTTTACGTCCACTGTAGCTCCTGGCCCTTTCTTTCCTTACCCACTTTACGGCCCAACACCCTCCTAACCAACCCTCACCAAAATATTTAAATCAACAAAATAAATACCATGTTATCCTTAAGTTCTAAATAAAGGAAACAGGATAAATACAAGTCTTTTTTTTTTACTTCAATATGTTATTTTCATATTATTTCACTTCATGCCACATAAAACCTAAGATCTCATCCACTGAAATATAAAAATGTAATTTCAAAGTGCACTTTAGAAAAAAATGTATGATTTTTTCCTAAAGTCAGCATTTGTGCCTGATGATAGCAGGTGGGTGGACAATGCTGTGCTCCTTGTCAGGCACAGCACTACTTGTATAGCTTTAACAGCAGGCTCTGTCATCTCAGTAGTTTGGCCTACCATGGTTTTGAAACTTAACACAATTCAGACCAAGTTTTATGATAAAGAACAGCTCAGCATTACTTAAAGGGAATCAGTTCATGTTTATTTCAAGGGAACTGTTTCATATACTGCGTTCGGTACATTGCCCCTTTCCAACATCTCTCCAAGTAGCTGCTTCCCTTTGCCCCTTTCACCACGGGAGAGTCTCTTGGTGTCGTTATTCTGAAATTTCCTTCATGTTGCATAAAACCAGTTGGGTCACCTCATACACTGGGTCTTTCTCTAGTATTGTTTTCAAGACAGACAGGGTCCCCAAGACATGACAGATCACTGAAACTTTCAGATAAAAATCCCACACCGCAGTCACAACCTTTTACAATGGTAGCAAAGATATGCCTGACATATGTGATCATTGTCTATAATGTATGAGGGGTTATTTTTAGAGATTTTGATTTCCATATTATGCTGAACAAGAATTATTGACAGCAACTCGGGCCCTATCTGAAATAGCTAGAGGGAAAATTCTAGCACTCAGGTATCATGAAATCAGTGGCAAATGAAGACTCCAAAAGAGGCTTCCCAGTCGGTGTGTTAGGAAAGGCTTAAGAAGTCAACAGCTAATTTTGGACTTGAAGCAAATTGTTTAAACTTCTTGTAATACAACTTTGCTCCACTGCCATGCTATCTCTATCCCCCTTACCAAGATGTTTTAGTAAATGAGGAACCTTGATACCGTGAGAAAATATTTCTTATTCAGAGTACTTCCATAGGATTATATAATCAACCACTAGATAGATAGATAGATAGATACACAGAGAGACAGATATAAGGTTGACTTCCATACATTATATGAAAATCAGCATCGTTATTTCATAATCATAGTATGACACAAAATTATATGAAATATTATATGTACATAGTTATAGCTATGCATATATGCTACATATATTTCACAGTTTCACACAGTTTGTCCTTTCTTTATCCCACTGAACTGTGGCATAAGGGGCAGAAGCTGTAGTTACTTATTTCCTGAGCCAGAACACAGTGCTTGCACACGCTGCACATCCAGAACTGATATTCCGTGATTGGGCTTCCTGTGGCAACGCATGTCGGAAGTTTCCCTTCCCCTCTGTAAAAATAAGAGGAAAAACAAATAATTATACTTTAAAACTTCTAATCACTTAAAAGTTTATTTATTACTTTTAAAAAACTGGGGTATAAAAAATATTTCAAAGTAAACTTAAAAACATTTTTTACAATGAGAAAATAAAGCATTCATACACTTATAAGACTAAATAAAATAGGGTATAATGTTAAGGTAAACCACTTAAAAATTTAGTGCTCTAATTATTAATCACATGATTACACATCTACAAATCCAAGCTTTTGAGAAGGTAGAATGACACTTACTAGTTACAACTAGCCTTACCCTTCAAGAAGGCTGTCCAGTTCCGATTTTCTGTTATCCTTTGGCGTATGTTTGGTGAAGATTTCTAGAGCGAGGTCTTCATATTGCTGTTTCTGTTCTGAGCTGAGGCTCTCTAAAGACTCAAGCTTAATAAAAGCCTTCGAACAAGCACCAAAAGCTCTACTGGCGCAGGCGCAGAGCGCCAACAGAGAGTAGATTTCAACGGCCGGAATAACGTCTTCGTAGTCTCGCAGATGGAGAGCTAGGAAAGCAAGGACAATTTGGATTTTGCCAAGTGATCACGATTCGGCATGGGAAAGACTCTGTGTTAAGCTGTTTCAGCTACACGAGCTTCAGCAAAGCTGAATAAAACAGCGGTGGGAGGTCAGGGCACCGGCAGAAGGGAGGAGGCCGGGTGATCTCCGGGGCCTTGCAACGCTGGCTAACAGCCCAGGTCCGGGAAACACACCCTCACCAAACAGTGCGCGTGGCCATCGAGAAAGATACACACAAACAAAAGTATCTGGTGTCAAAACGAACATTTTCTGTTCCATATAAATATGTTAGAAATTTTTATGGCATTCCAGAAACAGTGAAACATTTCCTCTTTGTATTTCTTTGAACAGATTATTGCTTTTCTGTTTGTCTTATTGAAACAATAGAACTTTGAGGAGAAGAAAAGTAAAAATGAGCCTCTAAGTTGCCAGTAGAGACCATATATTTTGACGGCTATCATATCTTATTTTCAATTTTTCTATACTGGAGATATAATCTCTTTCTTAAAAAAGCACTGTAGAATTAGTATCAGATTGGTAACCAAATTGTATGTTCTTTTTTCTTCTCTACTTTCCAACCTTAAAAATATCTCATTATAGTATAATATTAGAAATTTCATAAAACAATTTAAAGCAATATGTTCATGTATTTTACTGTTAGGTTCTTATAAACTAGTTTGGGGATCAAATGTTTACATCCAAGTTCACAGGAAGAAACTTACAAAAAATAAATTCATTCAGTTATAATAAAGAATAACCTTTAATTTCACAAAGCATATATTTCCTCAGATCATTTTATCACTGAAAGACAAAAATATTAAAGTAGATATCTTCACTCAATAGATGAAGAATCTCAAGCTA